ACAACCATTTACAGATTTAAGCAATATGCTCAAAACTGTTCCGACATGTCCTACCAATGGGCTGCGGAAGACATTATAAGCACTGATACTGTGCTATCAATGCCGTCAGATTTGGCGGTATCACTATCAGTGATTAATGCTCGATACCAGATTGTACTGCCTGAGCGGCAGTCCTGGATCGAAAATGAAAATTCTCTGGTTCGGGCAGACATTTGCTTGTACACAGATGGATCAAAAACGCCTGAAGGGGTAGGAGCAGGAGTATACTGCCAGACACCTCGAATTAAGCAAGCCTACAGCCTGGGTACGTACTGTACTGTATTCCAGGCGGAAGTATTTGCTATTGACATGGGTGCTAAAATCCTTCTTGAAAGAGGGGTGAAGAACATGACAGTACGAATTTTCTCAGACAGTCAAGCCGCTCTCCAGGCGCTGCAAACCGTGAAAACGGTATCGGCTCTGGTTAATGATTGTAAGAGAACATTAAACACACTGAGTTGTGATAACAGAGTCTCTCTGATCTGGGTCCCGGGTCACTCTGGGGTTGCTGGCAATGAAGCGGCAGATAAGCTAGCACGAGATGGCAGCGCTGAAGCGTTTGTGGGACCGGAACCAGCAGTTGGTGTATCATTTGCGATGGCCAAATATAGGATTGGACTGTGGACAAGAGAGACTTCGCCTACTGTGGACCAGTTCTCCTGGAATGAGACATGCTAAGGTGTTTATTAACATCGCCACTGTCAAACCCGGGAATATTTTAGGACTTGCCCGTAGTAGCATAAAAGTTGTAATGGGTGTTTTTACTGGGCACTGCCGATTAAAAGCACACCTCAACTTGTTGGGTTTAGCCGACGATGTTGAATGCCGACTATGTGCGGAGGAAGCAGAGACGGTAGAACATGTTTTATGCCACTGCCCTGCCGTTAACCGTATCAGATTCTCGATTTTTGGGTCGCAGTTTATCTCCTCAAAAGATCTGAATGACCTTTCGCCGAGCAAGGTATTAATGTTCGTTAAGAGCATTGGACTGCACGGTGAAATTTGATAACGATATCTATCGGCGTACAATAGATCCTTAGGGTCGCGGTACAAGGTTGGTTGGTCCGCCTACCCGATATGTATTCAATGTAATGTAATGTAATGTAACACGGTTGAATAATCATCTTTTAAAATATCGGTACCAACAGAATGGAGTGACGTAATAAAAACCCTGGATTTCTGGCCAGCAGGTCTAGCAATTAATCCTTTTTTAGAACGACTGGCGCGGATCAGCCAGACAATATAGCTTCAAACCAAAAACATAACAATGAATTCTCACAAAATAAAACAGAAACAATACAATTTCTAAACTTGAATGTCCAATCAATGAAAAATAAAATTGATGTAATTAAATACTTTATAGAATTAGAAAATATCGAAGTTGCATGTATCACTGAACATTGGCTGGACACCTCAACAATGAATATATTGAGAATCAATGGATACAACATTGCATCATGCTCTGTAGACAATAGTATAAGCATGGCGGCGTCTTAATATTAATAAAAGATTCAATCAAGTTCACGCCAGTGCCTAGTACAGATGATTACTGTTAGGGAAAAGATATAGAAATTACAGCTGTAACCCTGATAAATATAACATTATTGTTAGTTGTCTATATTGATCACCGCTAGGTGACTTAAACATCTTCAGGGAAAAACTGAAATAGTACCTGGTATACATTGCAGAAACGTATCTTAACTATACAGTGCTACTTTCCGGAGATTTTAACATAAATTTTATACATAGCAACCAAGAATCCATGGCGGTCCGTAATATATTCAATATGTTTGGAATGGAAGACATCTTTTCCAGTCCTTCTAGAGTATCACCAGGATCGGCAACCTGCATAGATAATATATTTACAGAATTAATAAACATCGAGGGAAAAACTACAAATTCACACTTATCTGATCATCTTGCGCAGATTGCTAAAGTAACAACAAAAATCATAACCATTACAAATATGAAAAAGATAAGATTGACTACAACAGAGAAAATACTTGAATTCAATCAGAGTCTTCGTGGGACGCAATGGCCAAATGCTCATCTTAGTTATTCCTCGTTCCATACTACATTCACAAATTCGTTCAATCACATATTTCCTGAAAAAGAAGTAAACGATACCAAGAAAAGATGTTGTCAAATGAATTTTCCTTCGGAACTGTAGAACAAAAAGAGAATATCCGATATATTGCACACTATGGCAACAGTTGTGAACTTGCCTGAACACTTGGAAATTAGAATACAAGCAAGCAATTCAACAACAAAAAGCTATAACTCTTTCCAAGTTTATACAAAATAGCGACAATCGTTCCAAGGCCATTTGAACAGTAATTAAAAAGAATTCTACCAAAAGAAATTAGACACCAGGAGTGACTATGATGGTCCAACTCCGGATGACTTTAATAATTATTTTGGTAAGATTGGCAACCAGGTGCACTCTGAACCTGTGCTCTGCCCGGAAATCTTCGTGAAGAAGCAGGTTGGTAGCGAATTCTATTTTCCTCACACCAGTAGATTTGATAGAGGTCGGAAGTGTCATACGAAACCTAAAATCAAAAAATACATTAGACTTGTACGAAATTCCATCAGTTTTATTAAAGAGTATACGTGACAAAATAGCAAAACCGTTAATAGATGCTGACAGATGGAAATTACCCAGAAGAATTTAAAGTTTCAAGGGTAGTGCCACTTTTCAAGAGTAGTGACAAAGCGAATTGCGGTAATTACAGGCCCATCGCAATACAAGCAACACTATCCAAGGTCTTTGAACGAGTAATAAAGAAGCGACTGATTTTCTTGAAAGTCACAACATATTTAGCACCGAACAACACGGTTACCGAAAGCTAAGATCCATATCATCAGTTGTTACGGGTCCTTTGGAACTGATAGCAAATGCTTTCAACAAAAAGGAAGAAGCACTACTCAAATGCTGCGATCTAACAAAAGCTTTTGATTGCGTCGCCCACCAGATTTTGCTCGTTAAGCTAGAGTAGTACGGTATAAGGGATACTTCACTTTCACTCTTCAGGTTTATATCTCCAGGATAGAAAACAAATGGTTTACTGGAAAGGAAGATTCTCGGCAAGAAGACAGATAGGAGAGGGAATGCCACAGGGATTTGTTCTTGGTTTGGTTTTCTTTCTGATCTATATCAATGAATTACCGCAAAACTTAACGGCTGATTTGACGTGCCTTTTTGACGTGAAAAAGTCGAGCTGGAAGCGAAAGAGTGGTTCGGCAGCAATAAGCTAAGACTGAATGGAAAAAAGATACTTACTTACTTATATACTTACCAATAGAGAGCCAGATACGGGACATACGATTAAATTCAATGGTCTTAACATAGATTCCCACCTGAAATGGAATTCACATATAGAATACGTTACAAAAAAGTTAGCCACAGCAACCTACCTCATCAGAAGAATAAAGATTATCTCAACCCATAAAGCTGCTAGAACCGCCTTCTTCAGCCACTTTAATTCCATACTTCAATATGGCATTGAGGTGTGGGGATCATCGCCTCAAACTTCCAAGCTCTTAATCCACCAAAAGAAAACCCTTAGAGCTTTGGCATGTGCAGGACCGCGATATAGCTGCAGAAGCATATTTAAAACGATGCAAATATTAACTGTCCCTAGCGTCTACATACTGGCGGCAGTTACCCTTCTACATAAAAACGAAATGAGATATTCATCTCATAGGTGATATCCATCAACATGACACTAGGCAGAAGAACAGGATCGTCATTCCACAACACCGCATCAAAAGAGCACTAGTTATATGTGCATAAAATTATATAATGAATTATCATCAGCCTATTCTGAGTTTCCGTTGCCCATCTTCAGAGGGAAATGAAGCGATTGTTACTACAATACTCCTTCTACTTAATAGAGGAATACTTAAATTGCATTTTTTATTGAATATTATTATTATTTTCTTGTATTGTTGACTATTGTACACACATTTCTTTGCGACAAATAAACATTATTATTATGTTGTATTTTATGTAGGACTGTGCAAGTGCGTAGTAGCACAGTATAAAGTAAATTTACTTTATACTGTGGTAGTAGTTTCGTAACTATGATTACTGCATTCATATATTGCGAGTTATATCAAATTCCCGGTATATTCTTGGATAATATTCAAAAATTTGTGGCAAATTGTCTTCTTGGAAAATTGTACTGATGTTATCACCAATTGTCATCAACTGGCAGAAAGGATACTACAAGAGAAAACTAAGTTTTCCTGAAAACAGGAAAAATTATCTTGTTCTCGAAACAGAAACAGTAATAGCAAAATACATTCGAAATACATTGAGAAGAGATAAAGCTGAACAAGATATAAATAGCCGATAAACCCCATTGTTTCCCTCATCAAGTATCTGTATATGTACAATGTTAGTAATAACGCCACCTGTTCTCTGAAACTCAGAGAGTAATTTTGAGAGATGATCATTTCCCATCCCTCTTTCCCGTGTGCATTATTTCGCAATCAATCCTTCGAAATCCACGCTAAATGACGTAGACCGGGCCGCAGAGCGCGATTTCCTCCGAGTGCCACAGCTGTAAATTAGCCCAATCGGTTAGATTATCGGCGGCCTGCTGCTGCTGCAACACGGCGTTGGTATCGGATTAGGTCCGATCTTGCCCCCTCTAGCGGCACGAATTTGCATAATATATGGGCCGCAGAAAGCTGCGCCCCCGCGTATAAATCAATTAGTCCGTCCAGTTGGGCGACGGCTGCGTACCAAAATGTTCCGGACCCAGGTCCGAAGCCTAATTCTCGAGACCGTTTTACATACATTTGCATGATATTCGAATCAAGCACGGCATTTCGAATCCGGGATGATTATTTCTGAACTGTGCCGACATAATCCTCAAACACGATTTTACGTGTGAATTAATCTCTAGCTAAAATCAAATCATCCATTAATGTTTAATCCTTTTTTTTTGCAGTTCCTCCAGATATTTTAGACTATCCAACTAGTACGGACATGATTGTTAGAGAGGGGGCGAATGTCAACCTTCGATGCGTCGCAAAAGGGTCACCTCACCCTTCGATAACTTGGAAAAGGGAAGGAGGCGATCTAATACTCCTACCGTCAGGAGATCAAGGTATGCGCACTAAGAGTAACTTCACTCCGAATCATCCCACCGACCGATTTCGAAACAGTACCCATCGAATAGATTATTCCCATACAGGTTCATTCAGGGAAAACTTCTCTGGTGTCTGCAGCGGAACGGAACCCTTGCGATCGGACTTCTTAGCTACAATACAAATAAGAGAGCGCTGTTCTGTTCGAGTGTAATTCGCGTACACATCCCTCTCAATGTCAAGGGACGTTTCGTTTGGGCTTTCGTGAGATGCTCGCCTTTGCGTGTTTGCGCTTGACGACTTGCCGACCCGTGAATAATACAGCGCAAGTCCTCCGCTTTCAAATTACTTCGGGTGACGTTTTATTTTTAGGACACGATGAAAAATTAACGAGCTCTAAAAGCTGGATGAGGGGAAAATGTCATAAAGTTATAGAAAATTTCAAGTACTTATCGATTATCATAAGCTTACAATGTTTAACATAAACATTATTGTAATCTATATTAATATGGTTACTTCCTGTTTATTGATCACCTTTACTGGGACAGGTGGTCCCCCAAATTAATTTGAAAACCCCTTCGCGCCCTCCCGATCGTATGTACAACGTGCACACTTCGCGCTACGTTGCCTAACCGCGTTATGCACGCGCGAACACGTTAGAACAAGTGCGCGTCCCCCCCAAATATCCACTGCACTCTCAGTTCAGTAATTTTCACGGCAATCAAGCGCCAACGGGACATTAACGTCATGCAATTCATGCCAAATCGAACATTGAACAGCTGCCCCTTTTTTTAGCCCTTTTCATTTTCACCACTCCACTTGTTTAATTTTCAGTGGTCAGCGTTGAAGGGCCTACACTGAACATCACCAAAGTTACACGACAACAAATGGGGCCGTATCTTTGTATAGCTTCGAATGGAGTTCCACCATCTGTTAGCAAACGGATTATGTTGATAACTCATTGTAAGTAGAAATTGATATTTAATTTATTATTTCTTTTGGTTTTCGTCATCCAATTGTATCGGATGCAATATCGCACTGAAAGTTCAAACATTTATATAAACAGATTCTGCAAGTGTAGTTATTTAAGTCGTTCTCTTTTATTTTCTAGTATTTCTATTTAAAATTGAAAGACATGCTGTATTTGAGTTGTACACTTCCTTAAATTATTATCAAATTTGCATAGACGTTTAAGAACTTGATCGACGTATGGTACATGTATTATTGAGGAGCATTCTTTCGAGTTTATATCCTATATTTTAAGATGAGCATGTTCTGGAAAATGTGAAGTGTTTGGGGAAATACTAAGAGAAACATGGAAATCAACTCAAAATTTTGTAGTTTAATCTGTTAATTTCTCTCAATTTAAACTGCCATTTTGTGTAAAAAAAACTATCAGCTAAACCATTACATCCGATTGTGTGATTTAATTGTAATGTTATATCTGAACTGTTTCATAGATATAAAGTTACATACAACGAATTAATTGTAAATACATACATAAATACTCAATATTAAAAACACTCGAAATGGAATCATGTGCCATTATCATATAAAATAATTATAATGGATTAATTAAGTCCTGGACCTGCAATTTTTGTTCGTACGACTTAACCTCGAGGTATACTGATAGTGAGAGCGATGGTGAGATTAATGCCAATTCATTAATTATGAAATAAATGAGTGAGATGTTTGAATTAATGCCCGGAAAAATAATAAACGCTTTTAAGGATGAAATTTTTAAGCTACGAGAAGAAAATAAACAATTAGAATTAAAATTACGAAATATTGAAAAAAGACTGACGATGCACAGAAATCTGAACGGAAAACTAAGGAGGAGTTACTCTCATTAATACCACAATGAAATTATTTACATCAATAGTACATGAATATCTGCAAAGGACACTCGAAATAGCAGAAGTACAGCAGGGATTCCGGAAGAATAGAGGCACAACATTAGAAGCATTAGAAGATAGACGACATATACACCAACAATACTACTAAAATAAAGACTACCCAAGGCATAAGTGAAGAAATACCTGTGAGCGAAGGAATTAGACACGAAGATTCACTAAGTCCGTTCTTATTCAACCTACTAATGAACCGTATAATGGCTTCTATTATACTCAGACACAAACTAGGATACAAAATAGGGACCCAAAATGTTAACATAGTTTGCTATGCCAACAACGCCGTTTTGGTTTAGTAACGAAAATGATCTTCATAGACTAGTGTATCACTTCAACATAGCAGCTAACCAATACAATATGAAAATATCAACGAAGAAAACAAAACGTATGGTAATATCCAAAGAACCACGACGGTGCAAACTACAAGTTGAGGATTCTATAATAGATATTTAGTGTCTGATTTGAGTTTTAGTTGTCGTTCGTTGGATACGTCTGTTAGAGTTGCCAATGGTCAGATGTGTCGTAGTTTGGGTTCAGTTTGGATTCCTAGGACCGTGTTACCCTTATAGATGTGTTGGTGGTTCCTGAATTACCACAAACGCTCATTTTGGGCGTTGATTAGATGATTAGATCATTGGGTATTGCGTAATGATTCTTGGAATTTTGCTAGTGAATCTATATCTTTGATTGATTCTCCTGATACTAGATTGTCTCTAGTAGAAAAACAACAACTAGATTCATTGATTGAGAAATTTAAGGACAAGATGGGCGATCTATCAAGCAAAGATATTATCCTGTTTTTCCCGTGGTTCAACAACATATTGATGAGGAGCTTGATGAAATATTAACTCAGGGAGTGGTAGAGCCTTCTTTTAGTGCGTGGTCTTCTCCTATATTGAAAGAGTTATCCATGTTGCAAGATTAATAATCAGATAAAAACCATGTAAAAACTTCTAACTTGCATTTATTTATATAAAGTCGTACTAGTTTCGGGTTACCCCATCATCAGCGACAAAGTCAATGAAGCTATAATACGTGTAGGCTGGAAATCATATAAGAATAAAACATTTTGTTATCTGATGGATACACCTATTATAGCTTCATTGACTTTGTCGCTGATGATGGGGTAACTCGAAACTAGCACGACTTTAAACTAAGATTAGAACTAAAACTAGAACTAACACTAGAAACTTGCGGGTTTTGCCGTGCGTCTTTTAATAAAAGGTTTGACGTTTCGGATGCCATGTTGCAACCTCGAAACTGGTTCGAAGTGACACTTCGAACCAGTTTCTGAAGAAGGTTAAAGAAGGCAAAACCCGAAAGTTTCTAATGTTCATTCTAGTTTTAGTTCTAATCTTAGTTTAATTCACACCGGCCGTGAAAGCCTTCGTACTTATAGTACGACTTTATATAAATAAATGCAAGTTAGAAGTTTTTACATGGTTTTTATTCTCCTATATTGTTGGTCAAAAAGAAGGATAATTCCTGTCGATTTTAGACGTCTAAATGCGGTTAATGCTCGTAATAGTTATGTCCTTCCGTATGTTTCAGCGACCTTGGACAAATTGAAAAATGCTAAATATCTGTCATCGTTAGATATTAAATCTGCATTCTGGCAAGTTCTTATGAAAGAGTCTTCCAAGCAATACACTGCTTTTACGGTTCCTGGCAGAAGTCTGTACCAGTTTTCACGTATGCTATTTGGTTTGAATTTGGTTCTAATGTAGAACCAAAGGTTTTGTCTATTTCGATGATGTTATTATCGTGACCGACACTTTTGAGGATCACGTTACGGTATTGTCAGAGGTTCGCGCTTGTTTGTGTAAAGCAAGTCTTAGTTTGAACTGGAATAAATGTCACCTGTGTAGATCGGAGTTACGTTATTTAGGCTATGTTGTCGATATACCTACTATCCGTGCAAAAAGTCAAGGCCCCTCACTTTAGAGATCGATATCTTCGTAACCGCTCGATGGAAAAAATTGCTGTAAAGTTTATTGTAATCAGTGAACATTTCTGCGTATCACATGTTAATTTGGAAATTTTCGGGTCCGCGGTTTTACTTTTATCGCGAGTTAAGTGAAAAAAGTACCCGATTTTTGAGAGTGCCAGCAACTTTGTCTACTTTGCGATTTTTTCTCTCCAAAACTATTTGACGAAAAAATTTCAAATTTGAACTGGTGGTAAACCGATGTGTTCTTAATGTGGGGCATATTTTATTTTTTCGATATTCCATATAGTTTCGCGGAAAATCGCGGTTTAGTAGGATGCGGTTATTTCGAAAACGACCTGGCGAATTTCAACGCGGTTTTTACCAAAATATGTCAAATAACGCGGATTTTCGGATTCCGTTATCAGTTTTTCAAAAATAAGGCTCCCTAATTTTTTAAGAGCGATTTAATGGAATTACAAATTAAAGAGAAACAGAAATCAGCTATGCGGGGAGAGGAAGGTTCCGTCCAATCGGAACAGATGGTGCGTCCCAGACAGTACGTCGCGCCTTTATCTTGCCTACATAAAGAAATAAGGCGCGACGTCCTGTCTGGGACGCACCATCTGTTCCGATTGGCCGGAACCCTCGTCACCCCGCAGAGCTTATTTCTGTTTCTTTTTAATTTGTAATTCCATTAAATCGCTCTTAAAAAATTAGGGAGCCTTAATTTTGAAAAACTGATAACGGAATCCGACAACCAACATTATTTGACATATTTTGGTCAAATCCGCGAAGAAATCCACCCAACCGTTTTCGACATAACGGCGTCTTACTAAACCGCGATTTTCCGCGAAACTGTATGAAATATCGAAAAAATAAAACATGCCACTCATTGAGAACACATCAGACTACCACCTGTTCAAAATTAAAATTTTTTCGTACGATAGTTTTCGAGAAAAAAAATCGCAAAGTTGATAAAGTTGCCAATTCCGTAAAAAATCGGGTACATTTTTCATTTAACTCGCGGTAACAAGAAAACCGTGGATCCGAAAATTTTTAGATTAACATAAGTTACGTAGAAATGTTCAGTGATTACAACAAACTTTGTTGCAATTTTTTTTATGGAGCGGTTGCGAAGATATCGATCTCTAAAGTGAGGGGTCTTGACTTTTTGCACGGATAGTAGTATCTTTGTTACTTACATTCTTTAGTAAATTGGATAATAATATGACCAAACAGACTATGCATTTTCTGGGGATTACGTTTTCAGAAACTCTTTCTTGGAGTGATCATGTCATTAATCTAAAAAGAAAACTTGCTAATTCATTATATTGCCTAAAAATTGTAATAAAGGATGTACTTTACATTGATGCGAGAAACTTTTATTTCGCTTATTTTCATAGTATAGCAATGTATGGAATAACAGCATGGGGAACTTCTAGTAAAATGGAAACCATTTTTAAGCTACAGAAAAAAACGGTGAGGATATTGGCAGCACTGCAACATAGGGACAATTGTAGAATATATTTAAAAAAAACTAATCAAATTAACCTTACCGTGCTATTTTATATTATACATGTCTGGAACACTTACATACTTCGTTGTTGTTACGTACTTTATTGAAATAAATAGTTGATTGATTGATATATTTCATATTTTAAAATAATTTTATGTTTTCAGTTCCGCCAATGATTTGGATTCAAAACCAAATGGTAGGGGCATATGAGGGTCAACAGGTGACCCTCGAGTGCCATTCTGAAGCTTACCCAAAACCTATCAACTATTGGACGACGGATAAGGGGGAAATAGTACCGCAAAGTGAGTACAGCGAGAGTAAACTAAAAACCTTTTTGGCTTTCCAGAAACTTGCGCGCGGAAACACGTTCGTTTGCGAACTTCAACATAAACGTAGTACGGGTTTTGGCAATTCTCCGGAGCGATTATAAATGTCGACGACATAGTAAACGAACACGTACCCCCACGTCCTTGTTCCAGTTGGCGTTACACGAATTTTCCATCAAAATGGGCTACACCACCGTTTATTTGCTTAACGAAAGTTTCTAAGCGGTACATTAAAGGAATTAGTTTACTTTAATTAGATCAATTATTTAAAGTTAAAAGTAAAATGTTGCAACTTGGAAGATTATGTTGGTGGGATTCGTAAAAGGCATTAAAAAAATATAGCCCCCCGTAGGCGATAAAGTCCAGTATTTACCGAAAGTCACATAAAAACAACCGTAAAAAAGGCGTAGTGTGTCATAAACGGTTGGCGAGCTAAGGTAATAGGCCTTTTTGTCCGTCAATTAGGCGTTTTTACGAGAACTTTACCGGGTCGGACCTAACGACCACACAATTGGTCTGTAAATCTGCTCCGGCTTTCCCAACAAAAAGGAAAAACCAGGTCATTCCACTTTGACAATTTCTGCATTAACACAAATTTGCAAATCTGTTTATTGTATTATGTACATCTACTAATTATAATGGTTAATCAGAGAGGTGGATGTCATTAGATACAAGGATTTCGATCATCCTAATATTAATCAGAACCATGCATGCTGTCGATGTTGTCGACGCGAACATTGTACACAGATTTGCGGAGTGCGCGCTGTTTTGTTTACATTTACATCGATTTGCCTGCGCAAACACAAATATTGACAGAGCCGCCAACCTCGGGCCAAGATATTTGTATTCCGTTAGGTTTCTTTGTGAGGAAGATCATAATTATCTTTGTCTGGGGAAAACGTATAAAGATAATTGACACTCTTTTTAAACCATCAAGAAAAATTTTCCTCTAAAAATAAACTCACATCAACGTTTTAGATTTTTTCTTCTTTGCTTTTGAACTTCTTTTTATAGAGCGTAAGGAGTATTTTCGATGGGTATCCAAGCTTTGGAAGCTTTCGGATCACGACGACGGAAAGTGCAGCTGCCAAGTTATATCGAGCGCATTGAAGGCGCGCGCCAAACGAGGCATATCTATATGAAGTTGGAAGTCGATTCCGCTCTACAAAAGGCCCTACATCACTCCGGGCACACAACCGGTGCCTGTTTGCGTATTTACGCGAGCTTTCGGACAGCTTTTGAGATTTCCAAACGAGTTTTAACCGAAACGATCTGCGCACCAGTAGTCTTTTCTCATACTGAAAAAAAAATGTCAAAGACTATTTAGAACTATACCCTATTTTTTAATTTGAAGGAGTGTTTTCAAATTGAAGCGCCAAAAAGAAGAGTTGCTATTGGTCAGTTTTAAGTAAAAATTACACTAGGAAAATTCGAGATGTTGCCAGCTGCCTAGAAACATTTGGGTTTAGCCGCACGTCTCTTAAGACGACTAAAACCGAATGATTCTAGTTCTAGGTGTTATGTTAGTTCTAGTGATAGTGCTAGTGTAAAACTAGAACTAACACTAGACCGAGAATTAGAAACATTCCAGTTTAGCCGCACGTCTCTCAAGATAAATTTCAAATTTTGCTCTGAAGAAGGTTGGATTTACTACCGAAATGAGCATTTTATAGAAAAATTGTTCCTGAATTATTTCTGACCGTTCACCCTGATTAATGTATCTGAAATTTATCGTCTACGGTATCGGTTGTAGATACGTCTTGCCTATGGTGTCTCAAGACTGCTAAATCCGAAAGATTTTAGTTCTAGGTCTTGTATTAATTCTAGTGTAAAACTAAAACTAACACTAGACCGAAAACTAGAAACATCCGGGTTTAGCCGCACGTCTCTCAAGACGGCTAAACCCGATTGATTCTAGTTCTAGGTCTTGTGTTAGTTCTAGTGATAGTGCTACTGTAAAACTAGAACTAAGACTAGACCGAGAACTAGAAAGATTTGGGTTTAGCCGCACGTCTCTCAAGACGGCTAAAACCGAATGATTCTAGTTCTAGGTCTTATGTTAGTTCTAGTGATAGTGCTGATGTAAAACTAGAACTAACACTAGACCTAGAAACATTCGGGTTTAGACGCACGTCTCTCAAGACGGCTAAACCTGAATGATTCTAGTTCTAGGTCTTGTATTAGTTCTAGTGATAGTGCTAGTGTAATACTAGAACTAACTAACAGTAGACCGAGCACTAGAAACATTTGGGTTTAGCCGCACGTCTCTTAAGACGGCTAAACCCGAATGATTCTAGTTCTAGGTGTTATGTTAGTTAGAACACTAGATCGACAATTAGAAACATTCCAGTTTAGCCGCACGTCTCTCAAGACAAATTTCAAATTTTGCTCTGAAGAAGGTTGGATTTACAACCGAAATGAGCATTTTATAGAAAAATTGTTCCTGAATTATTTCTGACCGTTCACCCTGATTAACGTATCTGAAATTTGCCGTCCACGGTATCGGTTGTAGATACGTCTTGCCTATGGTGTCTCAAGACTGCTAAATCCGAAAGATTCTAGTTCTAGGTCTTGTATTAATTCTAGTGTAAAACTAAAACTAACACTAGACCGAAAACTAGAAACATCCGGGTTTAGCCGCAGGTCTCTCAAGACGGCTAAACCCGAGTGATTGTAGTTCTAGGTCTTGTGTTAGTTCTAGTGATAGTGCTACTGTAAAACTAGAACTAAGACTAGACCGAAAACTAGAAAGATTCGGGTTTAGCCGCACGTCTCTCAAGACGGCTAAAATCGAATGATTCTAGTTCTAGGTCTTATGTTAGTTCTAGTGATAGTGCTAATGTAAAACTAGAACTAACACTAGACCTAGAAACATTCGGGTTTAGACGCACGTCTCTCAAGACGGCTAAACCCGAATGATTCTAGTTCTAGGTCTTGTATTAGTTCTAGTGATAGTGCTAGTGTAATACTAGAACTAACACTAGACCGAGCACTAGAAACATTCGGGTTTAGCCGTACGTCTCTCAAGACGGCTAAACCCGAATGATTCTAGTTCTAGGTCTTGTG